TGTATGAAAAAAATGATGTCCATGTAACATGAAAAATTTGAAAATATGAAAATTTTGTTTTAATGCATATTTTAATCATTAACTGACATATTATGAAGGTTAAAGAGGTTTGAGACCTTAGGTGTTCATGTTTCTCCAGAAAAATATAATTTTCTTTATAAGGCGTTTGTCCACTAATTATGTGGTTTATGAAATTTAAATAAATTATATATTTAAAAATTAGAAATGATGTCTAGTTAAATAAGAATACCATACATTAATTTTAAGTATTGAGCGGTTGGGTATTTTTAAATAGCACGAAAGGGGCTAAACTTTAGTATATATAGCATTTATCGGAGAACTCATATTTCAAAATAATTACAAAATATGATATTTTTGTTTTCATGCATAATTGCATCATGCACTGACATATGATGACGATTAAAGAGGTGTGTGGCTTTAGTTGTCCATGTTTCTCCTGAAAATAAAGATTTTATTGGGATTAGTCCACTAAATTAGGTGAAAGATGAATTTTTATTAAATTATTCACTAAAATACGAGAAATGATGTCCATGTACCATGAAAATAAATTTAACATACACTAATATAAATTAATAATTTGATTAGGTAATTTTGTATCAACAAGAAAGAGCCTAAATTTCAGAATTTAGCATTTATCAACAATAAAGAGCCCACATATTTCAAGAAAAAAAATTAGAAACATGAAAATTTTGTTTTAATGCATATTTGAATAATTCACTTACATAGTATGAAGGTTAAAAAGGTATGATACTTTAGGTGTTCGTGTTTCTTTAGAAAATATAATTTATTTTACATGGGGTGTGTCCACTGATTAAGTGTTATATGAAAATTAAATAAATTACCTGTTGGAAAATTTTAAATGATGTCCATGTACCATGAAAAATATTTTAACATACATTAATACAAATTTAGAATGTGATTGGTTAATTTTCATCAACAATAAAGAGCCCAAACTTCTTAATATAACATTTATTGAAAAACTCAATCTTCTGTAGGGGTTAACCCACATATTTCGAGAAAATTTTGAAAATAAGAAAATTTTGTTTTAATGCATATTTGCATCATTCAGTGACATAGTATGAAGGTTATTGAGGTTTGAGACCTTAGGTGTTCATGTTTCTCCAGAAAATAGAATTTGTTTTATAGGGGGTTTGTCCACTTATTAACTAGTATATGAAGTTTAAATAAATTACATGTTGAAAAAATAGAAATGATGTCCATGTACTAGGTGAATAAGCTTATCATACATTAATAAGTTTTTATTGTGCTTAGGTATTTCTAAGTAGCAGGAAAGAGACTAAACTTTTGTACACATAGCATTTATTGGAAAACTCAAAATATTCATAGAGGGTTAACCTACATATTTCAAGATATATTGGAAAATATGATAATTTTGTTTTCATGCACTGACATATAATGAATATTAAAGAGGTGTGTGGCCTTAGTTGTCCAAATTTCTTCAGAAAATACATATTTTATTGGGGTTAGTCCACCGAATTAGGTGAAATATGAAGTTTTATTAAATTATTCACTAAAAACAAGAAATGATGCACATGTACCATGAACATAATTTTAACATACACTAATATATATTTTGAATTTTATTAGAGCCTAAATTTCTGAATTTAGGATTTATCAAAAAAAACTCATTTTTCGTATGGGTTAACCCACATATTTTGATAAAATTTTAGAAACGTGAAAATTTTGTTTAAATGCATATTTAAATCATTCACTGACATAGGATGAAGGTTAAAGATGTTTGAGACATTAGGTGTTCATGTTTCTCCAGAAAATAGAAATTTATTAATATTTTATCCGAAACCCGAAAATCGAACCGGAACCGAACCGAAAAAATCGATACCGAAACCAGACCGAAAAAATCGATACCGAAACCGGACCGAAAATTACAAAAACCCGAACGGTTCCTATTTCTCTAAATCCGAAAAACCGAAACCAAACCGGGACCGAACTGAGAACCGAACGGATACCCGAATATTGTAAATATAATAAAAAAATATTAATTATTTTAGTGTTAATATATATAAAATATAATTTTTAAAAATATCCAAAAACCCGAATTACCCGAATATTTAACGGTTTTAACTCGGTTTTTCTGTTATTTTCTTTGTTTTTTGGCTTTAAACCCGAACCAAACCCGAACTATTTCTAATTCGGTTCCACTTTGGGTTTTATAAAAAAATAGAAACCCGACCCGAACCCGACATTACCCGATCCGATCCGAAAAATTCCCGGTTCCTAAACGGTTCCTAAACACCCCAACCCGAATAACCCAAAAACCGAATAATCCAAACCGACTCGAACCGAAAACCCGAATGCCCAACACTAGATAAAGTTATGCATAAAACAAAATACCATACTAAAAGATCGAGTTTTTTTCCAATAAATGCTATATGTACTAATAGCCTCATTAATGTTGTTTTATAAATACCTAACCACACCCTAAATTTATATTGACGTATGCTAAACATATTTTTTGGTACATGGACATCATTTCTAATTTTCCAACGAGTAATTTATTTTAACTTCATATACTACATAAATAGTGGACTAACTCCTATAAAATCTCTATTTTCTAGAGAAACGGAAACACCTTAAGTCTCATACCTCTTTAATCTTTATACTATGTTAGTGCATGATGCAGCTATGTATTAAAACAAAAATACCATATTTTTAATTTATCTTGAAATATGTGGGTTAATCCCTACAAAAAGATTGATTTTTTTAATAAATGTTATATATACTAAAGTTTGGCCTATTTAGTATTTTTTTTAAAAAAATACCTAACCACATTCAAACTTTATATTAACATACTAAAGTTATGTTCATGGTACATGGACATCAATTCTAATTTTCAACAAGAGAATTTATTAATTCCCAAATTATAAAACATGATAAAGATGTGTGGCTATGTAACATCATGTTTCCCTTTAAGATATGGACTCTCGTATGGCGTCATTTCCGTTTAAATGACAGTTGATTTTGCCATGTAGATGCATATGACAGTCTTACTCTCTCTTTTTACATTGCGTTACTAGAAGAGAAGCACATTTTGAAGCCAACTAAAGGGCCCGATAATCCATTACTACGTTTTCTAATTAATTGTCAATACAATGGTGATATAAAAAAACAAATCCGTCAAAATTAACCACACAAGATTTTCAAATAACGGTAATATTGCTTAAACTCTAGAGTTTCATATATAGATTACTAACTTTTTTAAAGATTGCAGGAACAGAGATATTCGTGAGCTGAGAGAAACTCAAGAAGAGGTACCTGAAACATCTTTAGTATGTGTTTACGATGTTGCTATATTTTCTCCAGGATTCTCTATGTTCAGCAAGAGAGTAATCGTCTTTGTCTTATTGTTCAATGAATCGTAGAAGTAGATATGATTCACAAGCTTTTTCTTCTTGTATAGTGAAGCTTTGGAGTGAAGAATATTATCATAGATTATATTCTTTTGTGGAGACAGTGGAGTCTTCTTCATGTATTATTCTTTTGAGTAGAGATGAGTACAGATCGGATATCCAGGTTTTTAAAGGTATTTGTGATTTGCTTGTATGTTACCGATATTTAATTTTTCGATTTGTTTTGTTTCGGCAAAATACGCATATCTGAAAAAATAGATATCCAGAAAAAGAAAAATATTTACAGGATATTTACGGTTATTTACGGATATGTCATCTATTTTGATTAATATAAATAATCAAAATGGCCACTTATGGACATCTCATATTCTCATCCATTTCGCAAGCTCGTCCAGTTTAAATTTCGTGTGATTCAGTTACAGTTGATTATTATTGTGGCTCAAAATGGCCATTTATAAGGTGTCTGGTAAGGTACAATGTATGCATGACTCTAAGTAATAAAAAGTTTTGGATGTAAGTAATACTTTAAATCTTTGGATTATGGCCACACTTAACAGAATCACCCTTGTTCAATGGTTTCACATTCAGTGCAAAATGTTATTCAGTTCATGATTAATACAGTAGTAATACTATTAGCTTGACAATTTTGAAGTTTTAATTATTTTTCCAGTGGTCGACTTGAATGAATCTTAAATGAACCTAATAAATAAATAAAAGAAATGCAAGAGTGAATCATTGTTATGGAAGGACAAATGTCTAAATACAGTGCAAAAACGACAAAAGAAAACACAAAGGTACTACGAATCACGTGGCTTTCACGTGAACTTCACACCCTTCTTTTCCTTCCCTCTTCACTTTTTCCATTTGAGGAAGATGCTTTCAAAAACTCCACCGTGGGCCCCACTTAATATTTTTGGTGGCCCAAACCACTCTCCATTGTCTTTTTTACATCTCTGAAGGTTTTCCCACAACCACGTGGGCTTTTTGGCCCGTTCCTTTCTTTTTTTCCTTTGTTTTTGTCGTTAATGCCTAAAATATTGTTTTTTTATTAACATTATATCGTGGTTCTATGACTCTATCGTGTTGGGAGAGAAAACGAAAACTGATGAAATATAATTTTTGATGTTTTCATTTGATTTTTTACAATATTTGTCTATCTTGTAGCTGACTGATGTGATGTGTAATAACTCCTATGTGGTTGATTCTATTTTTAGAAATCAAAATTTTGTAATGCGAAAGTTCTAGAAAAAAACTAGAAGATGCTAATATTCGACTTAGAACGAATGCACAGTACTGTACAACTAAGATATTAAATGAACCTGAGAACAAAAATAAAAGTTAAATAATTATTTAAAAAAATAAACAAAAGCGAATTATAAAGAGCTTAAAAACTCTCAGGTTGATCAACAAAATTGAAAAATATCTTTCACTTAAGAAGACAAAGCCTTTTTGCATCTTTCAACAAGACAAACATGACTTCTCCATCTTCATCAACCTTCAAACCAAATTAAGTTGTTGATTCACATAACACATATGTATGTATATGTAGATGATGTTTGTTCTTACCAAGCTGATTTATTGTTCTTGCAGGTTAACTGATCAAGAGTATATGGAGCTTGTGTTTGAGAATGGGCAGATTCTTGCAAAGAGCCAAAGATCCAATGGCTCTTCTCTGCAGAATCAACGTACGAAATCGATCGTGGATTTGTACGAGGCCGAGTATAACGAAGATTTCAAGAGGAGTATTCATGGTGGTGATAGTCGTGACAAGAATCTTGTAGACACACAGGTTGTTCCAGAACCTCTTGTTGTTGCTGCATATGAAGCAAACCATGTTGTTAAATGATCATTCACATGCTGATGAATCAACTTGATTTGATTCAGACTTTGAAAGCTTCTTCATCAAAGAGGATGGTAGTTGATTATGAGAACCGAAAGGATATGGAGTTTATACCTCCTGATGAGCAATCTGTGGTTGCTGAAAGAGAGGTCGAACTGGGCTATGAATCCATGGATTTTACTGAAGACAGTGAAGGATCGACATATCTAAGCAGCGTATGAGAATTGATTGATTCACAGCTTTTCTTTGGTTTGGTTTTATCTGTTAGGTTCTTGTCTGAAGATATTTTTTTTTGTCTTCACGCAGAGTCTAGATGATGAATCGGATGATGTGAGGCCACTAGTTTCTGCAAGAACAAGAAAGGTTTTGGTCAAGAGAAGACGCAAACAGAAGCAAACAAACGACATCAACAAGAAAATGCGCACTTTGCAGGATCTACTACCTAATTCTCAAAAGGTTAGGTTTGTCCACACAAACAAACTTTTTAATCTGTTTCAATAGAGACCATTGTTGGAACCATTTACTTACATTACCCTAAATGCTCACCTGTTCATAGGACGACAACGAATCGTTATTAGATGAAGCAGTCAATTATATGATGACCCTTCAACTTCAAGTTCAGGTATCACAAACAAAAAATACTTTCATGTAACGATTCTTGTTGCTAACCTGTATAAATCTTGGATGACAGATGATGACGATGGGTAATAGATTTGTTACACCAGCAACGATGTTGCCTTTAGGGCCGCACTACTCTCAGATGGGTCTAACAACAAGTATGCAAATGGGCGTACCACAGTATCAGCCTGCGCCTGTTCTAGGAGCTGGCTTGCCATTAGTTAGTAGTTCAGCAGATGTGCTAAGGGTTTTTAACCATCCTGGACTAATGCCAATTCAAAACTATTTGCCCCAATCTGTTCCGCCGGTGTGTGCTGCTTTCCCTAACCAGATACCAAAAAACTCCACCACTTCGTCAATTCTATATGATGCCAGAACAGATGGAGGAACTCTCTCTGGTAAAGAATCTGATAAACCGTGAGCAGATGAAAGAGACAGTGATGATAGTTACCTGCTGATTCGCCGACTTGTTAATCTCCAAGTAGTGAGAACACTGGCGCCATATCAAGGTGAACCATGCAGATCCAAAGGAGTACTACAAAATCAGAACAACTTACTATGAAAGGATCTGCTCAAGTTTCTCCTTTTTAGTGCCAGCTTTCCTAGTTCATGTAACATATAGGATAATAATAATAATCTCGAGTACTAGTCCGTCTGATGACAAATACAAATCTGATTTATACATTAGAGTGAAGCTTTAGTTTCTTGAATCCCAACGAAGTGCATTCCTTACAAATACTATGGACCTGGGTTCTACCAAGTTCCTTTCTATTTATATTGTACAACAAGTAGAGAAGAGATCGCACCACAATAAAGATGCACTGTGCAACTATGCTGCTTCAAGAATCTTTTTTCCGCCATCTTTCATCCGAACTGGTTCAGTATCTTGCTCCTCCAATGTTTGTTTTGTGTTGCCAAGTTTAAGCTCTGAGAACATCTCAGTCAGTGCATCTGCAGTATCTGAAGTCGTTGGTCTGACCTGGGAACTTTCGCTTTCAAGTTCCATCTCTAATTTCATGAATTCTTCTTCAATATTTTCATCATCAATATCTGAATATGGAGCTGATTCTGTTACACCAACAAAGAGTCTATGATAAACATAAAAGTTCGTGGACTAATCAAATGACAGAAAACAAAAACACCACTTACCGAGAGCTTTTCCAACTTCCTTCTGTGATTGAATGGTTTCCTCAATCTCTTCCAAATAGTCATGAACTTCATCTGGACTGATCTTGATGTCCTTCATAACCCTCGCTCCAGTTTTGATTGCTTCTGAGACCTGCCAAACACAAAGAGATATAACTAAATCCACTATCGATACTATTACAAGGCCCCAACATGACAAGCTCGACCTCTAGGGGTTTACAGTATTTGAAATACCATTTTTGTTGATTCGGAATCGGCTATAGTGTTCAACACTTCCTCTACTCTGTTCAGAAGTGACGTGCATTTTTCTCTGCTCTCAGTGGTCAGCTTCAGTTCCCTTGCATGCCTTAGAGCAACTTTCTTGTGTCCAGACTTTAGAGATGCCAACGCCGATTTCCTTGACCTACAATAGGAAAATAAAGTCACACACTCTTGAATTCAATCGATTTGACCTATACGAAAAAAAAAAAAAAGATAATTTATGTTTTCCAAGGCTATGATCAAGAATTAGAAAAAGTGTTACATTTCACAACGTTGGTCCATCACTTCGAGTTGACTTTGGAGCTTCTCTGTAGTCCTTAACAAATGCAGAACGTCACAGTCTAAAGTTGAAATACTGGGAAGTGCTGCTTCTGAAAAGGACACTTTGACACCCTGCAAAGAACAAGTATGGTTGGATTCAGACATTATGCATAGGTCTCGACCTGAATTGAGCCTAACTTCCGGACCTAGTCATCCTCTTTCACTTTCTAGAATGTGTGTTATTTAGGTAAGAAACTTCTTGGACATCAAAATTCAAGCAAGATACATCATTTAAGACCAGATACATCTCATGGAACAATACACATTTAAAAATCCATAGATAGATGATATAAGAGTAAGATCTCCATCAGGTAAATGATATAAAGAGTAATACGACCAAAGAAAGACGGATAAGAAGAATGAACCTCAATCAATTCTCCCCGATTAATAGAGATTTTATGCGCTTTTCCACACCTTGACAAGTGACTCAAAACAGCAGATGCCTCGTTGGAACCGTTGCACAAATCCCGGAACTTGTTCAGAGTGACAACACAAGTAGAAGTCCAGTGTCCCTCAGACAAAAGTCTCACCACATCAGCAGCCTTCTCCTACACATCACATATAACGTCCATCAACCACATACTTACTCAACAGACTGACAAATCTTTACCACACTTTAACTAAACCTCTATACAAAGGGAAGAAGCCACCTATAAAACATAGCTTCATTCAATACATATATAGTAACCTCACACATTTCAAGATACCATCACAAGCCACATTTCACAAGTTACATAATCAAGAAATCAAACGCACCTTCAAGAGTGGAACAATAACAAGTTGGTTCTCAAGAATCTCTCCCGGGTTCACTAAAGGTTGAGCCACCACTAAACTCCTCACTGTCCTCAACAAACGAGATATACGCCCACTAACCTGATTCTCAAGTTCACTTATCCGCACAACATCACCTTCACTATGCATCAATAACTAGAAACAAAAAAAATAAATAAAAAAACCACTCCAATAACAATTCCAATAACAGTCTAAGAATAAATTTCACCAGACTCACCAACACATGATCAATGCATAAAGGTGTCATCCCTCCTCTATCAAACCACTCCTTCTTCACCTTTTACAAAACAACAAAAATACGTAATCATTTTTCTTCTACTAATTATTCTAATTAAAGAGATTTGATTTTTCTTCTACTAATTATTCTAATTAAAGAGATTTGATTTTTCTTCTACTAATTATTCTAACTAAAGAGATTTGAGGAGACCTGTACAGGATCAATAATGAACACTCCGAAATGACGCGAAACCTTGAGGATCAATTCCCGCCAAAATCGAAATTTAATTTCCCAATCGGATCTCTGTCCACTAAACGCCTTGAATCTCGCCTTCGCCACCACCTCATCGTCCCAATCCGGAACTTCTCGTCGTATGAACTCTTTCACGGAATCCGAATCCATTTTTCTCCGATTCAAGGGACAAAGATGATGAACAATAGCTTCTAGACTCGCGAATTTTAACGAATCTCGAGCGAATCCTGCGAATTTTGAAAATCGATTTCCCGCCGATCTAGTTTTATAGGAAGATCGTCGTCGTCGTCGGAGAGAATAGCCAAGTCGTATACCAAAGGAGTTCTCAAATCGACATGCTCTGCCGTTTTTATTATAGGCTTTAGCACTGTCTGATGGTTTTCTCTTTACTGGATCTTTCTCACAAATAAATTAGGCCCGGCCCGGCCCATTATTGAGAGACTTAGCTTTGACTTTGATATGGAGACTGGTCAAAAGATCCAACGGCCAGTGTTGGTCTGATGTTTTTTCCAACTAATCCACTATCAAATCACTATCCGAAATCGGGCGTATGCATTAGCGAAAGAAACAAGATCTAAAGGTTATAATTTTATTAAAGAAAAACTAGAAGGAAGATTACAGGGTTGGTATTCTAAAACCTTATCGATGGGGGCCAAAGAAGTTCTAATAAAATCAGTCGCTTTAGCACTGCCTGTTTATGCAATGTCGGTGTTCCAACTACCAAAAGGTCTTTGCGAAAAGATAACGAGTGCTATAATTGAATTTTGGTGGAGTAGTGGAGATAAAAAGAGAAAGATTCCATGGGTATCATGGGAAAAATTATGTAAACCTAAGGAACAGGGAGGACTTGGTTTTCATGACATTGGTCGTTTCAACCAAGCATTATTGGGAAAACAAGCTTGGAGAATTTGGAATAATCCAAATTCTTTGGTTTCAAAAATTTTGAAAGGCAAATATTTTAAAAACTGTGATTTCTTGGAATGTGGTATGGGAACTCGTCCTTCATATGCCTGGAGAAGCATCATGCATGGTAGAGAATTGCTCAAAAAGGGTCTATATCGGCATATTGGTAATGGAGAGATTTCCAATGTCTGGGCGGAAAACTGGATAATCGACATTGTTCCTCGTCCGCCAATGTATCGGGAGAATAGTCCCATCAATTTAGCACTAAAGGTCTCCGATTTATTGATCCCGGGATCGAATATATGGGATGAAAATCTACTACATCAAACATTCACGACGCAGGATGTTCAGAGAATATTAAAATTGAAACCAGCTTTGTTTCAAGAGGATTCTATTAGATGGGGATTTACACCAAATGGCTCTTACTCAACCCGCAGTGGGTACAAACTTTTAGAAGCTTTGGTGGGTATTGATCATCCACACGCCCACTCTCTTTCTCCTATTGAAAAAAAACTGTGGACGGATTTATGGAAAATAAAAGCTCCCCCGAAAATTAAACATTTTATGTGGCGTGCTTTGTCTGGTGCTTTAGCGGTCAAACAAAGATTAAATACAAGGGGAATTACAATTGATCCGACTTGCAATATATGCGGTAATGGGGCTGAAAGCATATGTCATGTTCTCTTTACATGTGATAAAGCAAAGGCGGTATGGGAACATGCCCAGGTTCCAATGCCATCAGGAGGGTTTTCAAGGAATTCTACATTCTTGAATTTCCTGCATTTGATAAAAATTGAGAAAAATTCATTAACGGATTTTGAGTTAGGAAAAGTTTTTCCTTGGCTATTATGGGAAATTTGGAAAGCTCGAAATGACTTCATTTTTAAATCAAAGGATAATGTGGCCTCCTATATTGCTCAAAAAGCGTATGAAGAAGAGTCCACCTGGTGTGATACATTCACAAAAGATACTATGGGTGGGTCCAATGAAAATAATCTACTGTGGAAAAAACCCCCAACTGGTTTTCTCAAATGTAATGTTGGGTCTTCCTGGGCCAGCGCTAATTGCAGTAGTGGTGCGTCGTGGATCCTACGGGACGAGAGAGGAGTTACTCTCATGCATAGTCGTAGAGCTTACTCTTATATGCGTTCAAAAGTGGAGGCTGACCTGTGGGCCCTTTTTTGGACAGCAGAATGTATAGAGACACTGCGTTTCTCAAACATTATTTTCGAGACGTCATCCGAATGCCTACACAATCTTCTATCCCAACCCAATAATGACCCAGGGTTCAGCCACCTCCGACACAGCCTAACACAGATTCTCGCACGAATAGAAGACTGGAGCATTGACCACGCATTGCCTGAACGTAATGGTGCTGCCGATGCTATTGCCCTTAGCGTCACTCGTGATCTGCGACATCAATCGTACATTGCCAGGAGCGCTCCACCATGGCTTCACAAACTTCTCGCATTGGAGGCGAAGTAGGTTTGGATAAGTATGAGTTTATTTAGGCCTTTGTCTACTGACATGCTTTCTGCCTTGTACCTCATGCGTAACTTTTATTCTTGCTCCTCTTGTTTGAACATCAGTGTTATAAAAAAAAAAAGGTTATAATTTTTCCTATAGATCAAATAGGGATATACGGATATGCATTTTAGAGGATCAACTCATTTGACCTACATTTGATATAACTTAAATAGGCAACTAACAAAAAAAAGTCACTATCCTAAGTCTAAACTACCTCTTATAATATATAATATGTTCTACAAAAACGAGTAGATAGAGATAAAATCCTCCTATATATTAAAAAAAAAAATCACTTATGTGAGTTTTGCGTATCAATCATAAAGAGAGTTTAAAAAAAATTGTTATAATTTAACTGGTTAGAAATTTTTCAATTTTAATTATTTTAATAATATCTAAAATAAAATATAAGTTTAGAATTAATTAATTGCACTTACCAAATAATCTATTATAAACAAGAATTTATCATAACTGAATGTCGAAATTATAGAAAAATGTATTAATGTTTGATTATTTATTTTTTATATTTATATACTACATAAAATAATTAATAGAACAAAATTTATAGAAATCGATATAATGATTTCATGTTCTTAATATAAAACATTAGATTGGTATATTAAATTTTTGTAAGAGTTTGTAAAATGTTTATGAAAAATAATAAACTCTCCTATAATTAAGCACAATTTGGTAATTGGAAGAGAATTCTCCCGATGAAAATGGTAATTAAGCACAATTTTTGGAGTGTAATCAGTGGAATAGATTTAGGAGTTCTCCATTAATATGTAATTCATTTTATAACTATTATTAAAAGGCTTATTAATGGTAGAATCAACAAAATAAGTCAAAGTAGAGATATTTATGAGTTCTCTGATCCAGTGATGTTAGTTTGTAATTAGCTAAATTCAAATCAGCATATAATGCATGATGCATTAGATAACTGGATTATATTTTCGGCACCAAAAAAAATCTTAAATATTGTTGTGTTTTTTTCTCAAAGTCAAAGCTAAAGCCTAGGAGGCCAAGCATCACCTTGAGTCGCAACTTGTCACTAGCAAAAAAACGGCGTCAATACTGTCAGAAAAGTTGACAACAATTAACAAAGCCGTGACCACAAGTATCATGATGGAAGGCAAGGGGGACTCGGACGAGGCAAATCGCGAAAAATAGTTTTTTCTCTCCCTAGCAAAAGGCCCAGCCCATTAACTACCTCGAGGTTCCTTCACCAAAACCCCATAGGCCAACCACGTTGACGTAGACAAAGTTAGGAAAAAAAAAAGAAAATACCAAATGCATAAATTCCACACTCTTAGTCTTTACAACTTTTTCTGCATATTTAAAGTCGCAAAATTAGTTTTCATTTTATGTAACGAGAGAGTAATAAACGAGACAAAAATTTTACCGTGATCAACAGAGGTGACACGTAGACTGCTATGGATGACACTAGCGATATATATCCTAATACAATGACCCGATGTGCCGGCCCAACATATATCAGGATGACCCATCACTTTTAATGTCTCGTTCTGTGATCATTAATCATAATAATTAGAGAGAAAACCTCAGATGCATAGATGAATCAAGAAAGAAACAAAATCTCGTTATCGTTTCCTTCTTTGGTGCGAAGTATAGATATGTGGACTGTGTCAAATAAATTTTAGACCATATTTTCTAAAAAAAAATTAACAATATATTTATGATATAATGAATTTTTTAAAAAGTTAATAACTATGTTTGATGTTTCTTTAAAAATTATAAGTTGTAATCTAGCAATATATCTATTTTTAAAAAAAAATTATCATAATTTATCTATATATTTCTTAAAAATTCTTAATTTTTCCTTATTTTTTCCTTATTTTTTCATTATTTTTTTATTTTTATATTCGGGACCTTATTCGACCGCTCTACTTATACATGCTATTAGACAGCTCTGTGGATATATATACGATATTAAGGATGTCTGATATCCCGTTGCACATTAAACGCAACGTGCCACCGTGTTTCAAGATGGTGAAACAAAGCGATGGTATCGCACTAAACAATGTGATTATGTAAGGGTACGACTGATATCCTTCGTACTGGTGAATATTAGCTAATATAGCATCCACGTAAGTAAAATTAAATGACGTGGAAACTGATGTGGCGACTGGTATTTTGGCCAAAAAGATAAACATCCGGTATATTATTTGAAAGTTTGGATATGTTTTTACATGGTAATATAAGTCAGGTATGAATTGAACATATCACGATATATTAGCTATGTAATGACATACTCCCTCTGTTTTTCATTATATGACGTCGTAGAGATTATCACACAAATTAAGGTATTCAATATAATACCTTTTATATCCCTCATTGATTAATTATTATGATTCGTAAAGCACATAGAATAGAGTAAATAGAGGGGTAAACATAGTCCTTTCTTACTTTATTTTGCATTGTTTTCTGTAAACGTCAATTATATTGAAACATAACATTTCTTCCAAAACGTCACTTATATCAAAACGGAGGGAGTATATTGGCTATGTAATGACCGTTTTTCAGAAACAAGACTGATCAAAAGATCCAGTGTTGTTCCGATGTTTACCAACAAAACCACCATCAAATCACTATCTAAAGTCCAAACTACCTCTTATAATAGATGTTCACAAGATCAGTAGACAGCAGCGACCAAATCTATACATAAAAGAACCTTATGGGCCGGCCAGTCTATACGGTGACCTAATGAAATATACGTGGTTGACACATTGATGTCATCTCTTGAATTTTAATTAAAAGATTAGTATAGGAAAGTCAAAACTTTTCAATAGTAAATTAGTAATTTACAGTACATTTTAGTGTGATGAAAAGCCAAAAAAAATACTTAAAGGAAAAAAAAAAAAAAGAGATCGGATCCACATCAAGAAGTGAGAACTAAAGAAGAGTGACGTAGAAAAAGGGTAAAGACATTAACGGGACATGAAGGACCTTCCATGCCTATAGTAAATGTGTTATATTAATTACGATTACGATATCCTTCACCTATGTACACCACACAATGCACCTGATGCATCCAAGTCCATAAAACCTCTGCAACCTTATCTATTACTAAAATAGAGACGTTGCAATGGCTTAAACTCATATCCTGGTCTGGGATAATTCTAGCATGTCATGTGATTTTGCATGTTGGTTTTGATCTGATGTTGATCTATATCTGTTTCAGTCCAGCTTTGTGGTCGGAAGGGTTAGCCGCTAAATAAACAACTTTCACATAATTCATATTTTAATGGAAGCATTCATAAATATCTTATCAAAATCTCACCATCTGGATGAACATTCCATAAAAAAGGGGAAAAAAATCAAAAGATCACATGTCAATGCACAATTAGGGGAGAGTAATAAGTGGAATAGATTTATATATGATTCCATTAATCTGTCATTCCTTTTATATTAAGTATTTAAAGCCTTAGTAAAGGTATAATCTACAAATAAGTCAAGTAAAAATTTATCTCAAAACATAGTTAGCCAAATTTCAAATCAGCATATATATAATGCATGGATGAGATCATTAGATACATTTTACAAAATTTGGTTAAAGTACCAATAAATCATTGCAATTTTCAAACGAAAAGAGGGGCAAAACCGTAAAACACACACATCCCGAGACTTTGGGTTATAAATGAAATCGTCTGGGTTAAAGCAACGAGTTGACTCAGTTTCTATAACTATATAAAATAAACGACAGTGTCTCTTCACTTTCCTCTCTTACATGGCATTTGAAGAGAGCTTGATGATGATGTCATCTTCTCTCCCTGTCGTCGAAGACGACGTCGGATTCCACCACATCAGGACCTCTCTGTCTCGACTCTCTGTCTGCACAAACTCCGAAGCCACCAAGAACCAAACTGAGTCAGGTCTTGTCGAGAGCCTCGACGGAGGAGAAGCCGACGGAGAAGTCTCCGAGGACGGCGACGGAGGAGGAAAAGAGAACGTCCGCGAGTCTGACTCCGACAAAGAGTTTTACACCCTTCCGGCGACTCCACCTCGCCGGAGAAGAAAGCTTCCGGTCACCGGAGATAAAGACGTTAACGAGAGTAACAGAGACGGCGTTAGCTCACGGAGGCAGAGGAGGGTACTTAGGGAAAAGAAGAAGAAAGGCCATCACGGATTTAACGGCGTTGACGGAGAGAGTGACGGCGGTTTAGGGTTAACGGTTTTAACGAGAGCTAAAGGAGGAGAGAAGTCGTTGAGGTTGGGGTTAGAAGAGGTGAAAGCTTGTAGAGATCTCGGGTTCGAGTTAGAGGTTCCGGGTCGGATCTCTGTGTCAGCCGGGTCGAATTTCGATACTCAGACTAGTAGTGGAAGCAACTCTCCGATCGCCACGTGGCGGATCTCGAGTCCTGGTGATGATCCGAAGGAGGTTAAGGCGAGACTCAAGGTGTGGGCACAAGCTGTAGCGTTAGCTTCTTCGTCACGTCAAGCTTAGTTTTTAGGTTTTTTACTTTTGTTCCTGTTGCTTCTTCTTCAAGTAATAACTTAATTTTTAGGGTTTTTTATGTTTTTAATGGTTTTAATGAAATTTTAGTTCGTTTTCTGAGTATTGTAAAATACGACAAACAGTAGCAACGTGTAACTTTAGCGTGCGCTTCAACAAAGGTGAAAAGATAAAGGAATGTACAATTGGGATTACAAAACACAAAGGGACCTCACAGAACAGAACAAAGGTTAAGACTATTGACATGAAAAGCAGAGCTCATGATCAGTTTTTGAGATTCGGACGTTTTGTAATAGAGTCCAATGAATAAAGGAATGTGTTCTTTACTTTTTTCATTATGATATATATTCTGTTTTTTGTAATGACATGGATTTTGTCACTAACTTTATATTCGAGATTTTGAAGCAAATGGTTATAAATAGGGCTGGGCATTTTATCCGTTATATTTGATTCGATTCGTTATTCGTTTCGATTCGATCCGAAAATTCCGGATATCCGTAAACTTTCGAATCAAAGCAAATACTAAAATTCAATATCCGTTAAAATCGAAGCAAATCACAAATAGTAAAATTTTGGGAAGCGGATATCCGATCCGATCCGTAAATATATAAATATA